CATGCCGCACAACCCACCATCAGGCATGCGCTCTCTCTGACTGCATTCATAGCATAAGCCAAAGATTTCAAAGCAAACTGGAGATTCATCCCAAAAGCGAAGAGCTTTAGGAAAGGAGGGTGGGCTGTCTTCCCTCCGATCAGATGCTGGATGGGTCTTTGTCAGTGTGGGCGTTGTCCCTTCTCTGTTGTGCTGGGTATTTTTTTTTGTGCAGTTTCCTAGTCTTTTTTTTTTTTTTTTGAGACGGAGTTTCGCTCTTGTTACCCAGGCTGGAGTGCAATGGCGCGATCTCGGCTCACCGCAACCTCCGCCTCCTGGGTTCAGGCAATTCTCCTGCCTCAGCCTCCTGAGTAGCTGAGATTACAGGCACGCGCCACCATGCCCAGTTGATTTTTTAGTATTTTTAGTAGAGACGGAGTTTCACTATGTTGACCAGGATGGTCTCGATCTCTTGACCTCATGATCCACCCACCTCGGACTCCCAAAGTGCTGGGATTACAGGCTTGAGCCACCGCGCCCGGCCAGTTTCCTAGTCTTGAAAGGCTTAGAAGTAATGTCAGGCCCTCGCCAAAGGCATCCCTGTGTCTCCAAAGCACATGTGTCGCCAGGGCTGTTCCTCAGCCTCTCCCAGAGCTATAGCTGCTCACTCTTTCTTGTGTTTCCCCTCTAGGTGCTCTGGCCTCCAAAAGCAAGAAGCCATGTGTTCAGTACCTGCCCCCCGAGAAGCCCTGTGACAGCCCTGCCTCCTCCCACGGCAGCATGCTGGACTCTCCGGCCACCCCCTCTGCAGCTTTGGCCTCACCAGCCGCCCCTGCTGCCACCCATTCGGAGCAAGCCCAGCCCCTCTCCCTCACCACCAAGCCAGAAACCCGGGCCCATCTGGCTCTCCACTCCGCTGCCTTCCTGTCCGCTAAGGCTGCAGCCTCCTCCTCTGGGCAGATGGGCAGCCAGCCTCCCCTCCTATCCCGGCCCCTCCCACTTGGGTCCATGCCCACAGCTCTGCTGGCCTCTCCCCCGTCCTTCCCTGCCACGCTCCATGCCCACCAGGCCCTCCCGGTGCTACAGGCCCAGCCTCTTTCCTTGGTCACCAAGTCTGCCCACTAAGCTGCCCCCTGGCCCCTGCAGGCTGTCACGTGACTCATCGAGTAGTAATTCAGAAGAAAAAGAAAAAGGAGACTTTATTGGTCAATATTTGACCACTCTGGACTGTTCTGTAAAGTGGCTGGTAACAACAGCACTTTACAGTTTGTAGATGTAACCAGTAGCTGATCTTAAGGCTTTTTTAAAAAACAAAAGAAAACAACAAAAAAAAAACCTTTATAAGAAAGAGAACTGAAAAGTAGCATGCTGTTCATCCCTCGGTGCTGTGGCGGATGGACCTGGGCAGAGGGCGCCTCTCTCTACCTCTCTCCAATTTTCTGCCTCCTCTCTCTTCCACCCGCCCCAGCTTCCCAGCTTCCCCGACTCCATCTGCATCTCTGCCATTGCGATATTTCCTGTGACCCAGCCCAAGTTTTCATCATCTGCCCAATACCATGGGTTCTTCTTCGTCCTCTGTCCTCTGCCCAGTGTGAGGCTGTCACCATGTGAGAAGACATCTTGGCCTGATTTGCTGCCACCAGCGTCCCCTCCCTCAGTGGGCCAGAACCCGCTAGCCCCAGCTTTCAATGGAGAAAGTGGTCCTCTGAAATGGTTTCCTCCCACCCCCACATTTAAAGGGACTCAAGGTGCCTGCCACTTCCTCAGCGAAGAAGTCTGTGTTCTCCCCGTCCTTGCCAGTGGCGATCATCCCCTCACGGTCCCACAGTGGCAGGCAGGACTGGCCCCATGGTCTGGCTCCTGTCACCTGGGTCCATGCCAGCACAATCTGCCAAAGTTCTAGAGACCCTGTTCCCTTCCCCATCACCTCACATGCTTCTTCTGTGTGTATTTCTTTTTGTTTTTATGGTTTTTGGAGCAATTTAAACTCCCAGTTGTTTATTTTCACAAAAGAAAATAAAATTGCAGTTGCAAGACCTTTTCTGAGTATTCCTTTGGTTCTTTCGTTGAATCAAATCACTGTTTCACTGCCAAACCCTGTGTTAGACTTTTGCAGATAACGCGAAGGAGGACTGCTTCTTGCCAAGCGGGATATAAGGCATGCCTGACACCCTTAGGAAACCTGAACCCAGCTTCCCGTCTCAAATGTACATAGGCCAGTCAGTGTCCATGACGGAGCTGTGAAGCGGGAAATCATTTTTACAGTTGATTTAAATGAATTTGCCACCTGGAAGACATTCAGCTTATGCTTCTATCACCCACTTGACTTGTAATTGCCAAGATGTGAGGAAGCATCTTTTGGATTCTTTCCATAGTATCTAGCACCACGATTTTTTGGCAACAGCTTTATGGAGATATACTTCAGCCATTTAAAGTTACACTTCACCCATTTAAAGTATACAGTTCAGCTGGGCACAGCAGCTCTTGCCTGTAATCCCAACACTTTGAGGCTGAGGCAGGAAGACGGCTTGAGGCCAGGAGTTCAGGACCAGCCTGGGCAACATAGCAAGACCCCGTCTCCAGAAAAATCTAAAAAAAAAAAATTAGGCATGGTGGCACATGAGCCTGTAATCCTAGCTACTCAGGAGGCTGAGGCAGGAGGATCGCTTGAGCCCAGGAGTTCAAGGGTGGAGTAAGCTATGATTGTGCTACTGCACTCCAGCCCGGTCAACAGAGTAAGACTCTGCCCCAAATTTAAAAAGTATACAATTCAGGCTGGGCGCAGTGGCTCACACCTGTAATCCTAGCACTTTGGGAGGCCAAGGCAGGTAGATCACCTTAGGTTAGGTGTTTGAGACCAGCCTGGCCAACATGGTGAAATGCTGTCTCTACTAAAAGTATAAAAATTAGCCAGGCGTGGTAGTGTGTGCCTGTAATCCCAGCTACTCAGGAGGCTGAGACAGGAGAACTGCTTGAACCCAGGAGGCGGAGGTTGCGGTGAGCCGAGATCGCGCCATTGCGCTGCAGCCTGGGTAACAAGAGTGAAACTCTGTCTCAAAAAAAAACTGGACAATTCATTGGCTGTATGTTCAGAGTTGCGCATCTATCACCACAGTCAATTTTAGAACACTTTCGTCAGCCCCAAAGGAAACCCCATATCCTTTGAAAATCATTCCACATTTTGCCCATCTCCCCCAGCCCTAGGCAACCACTAATCTACTATCTCTGAACTTGTCTATTCTAGACATTTAAGACATTTCAAATACAGTCAAGCATCACTTAGCAACTGAGACAACGTTCTCAGAAACGCATCATTGGGCAATTTCACTGTGTGAACTTCATAGAGTGTAGCCACACAGACCTAGATGGTATACACACCCAGGCTGTGTGGTATGGTCTATTGCTCCTGGGCTACAAGCCTGCACAGCATGCTACTGTACTGAATACTACTGCAGGTGATTGTGACACAGTGGTGTTTGTGTATCTAAACACAGAAAAGGTGGCTGGGCACAGTGGCTCACACCTGTAATCCCAGCACTTTGGGAGGCCAAGGCAGGCAGATCACCTCAGGTGGGGAGTTCGAGACCAGCCTGGTCAACATGGTGAAACCCTGTCTCTATCAAAAATACAAAAATTAGCCAGGCATGGTGGCGCACGCCTGTAATCCCAGCTACTCAGGAGGCTGAGGCATGAGAATCGCTTGAACTCAGGAGGCAGAGTTTGCAGCAAGCAGAGAGCACGCCACTGCATTCCAGGCTGGGTGACAGAGTTTAAAAAAAAAAAAAAATAGACAAGGTGTAGTAAAATCTGGTGTATAGGGCCCTTCCCAGGCATGCAGCGTGCAGGACTGGGAGTGGGTCTGAGTGCATCAGTGAGTGGGGAGAGACCGTGACACTGTACACTTAGGCAACACTAATTTTTTTTTTTTTTTTGAGACGGAGTTTCACTCTTGTTACCCAGGCTGGAGTGCAATGACACAATCTCGGCTCACCGCAACCTCCACCTCCTGGGTTCAAGCAATTCTCCTGCCTCAGCCTCCTGAGTAGCTGCGATTACAGGCACGCACCACCACGCCCGGCTAATTTTTGTATTTTTAGTAGAGACGGGGTTTCACCTTGTTGACCAAGATGGTCTCGATCTCTTGACCTCGTGATCCACCCGCCTCGGCCTCCCAAAGTGCTGGGATTATAGGCGTGAGCCACTGCGCCCGGCCCAAGCAACACTAATTTTATAAAGAAATATTTTTTCTGGCCAGGCACAGCGGCTCACACCTGTAATCCCAGCACCTGGGAGGCCGAGGCAGGCAGATCACAAGTCTGGGAGTTCAAGACCAGCCTGACCAATATACTGAAACCCCATCTCTACAAAAAGAAAAAGAAAAAAAAAAAGAAAAGAAATCTTTTTCTTTCCAGCCGGATGCAGTGGCTCACGTCTGTAATCCCACTACTGTGGGAGGCTGAGGCAGGCAGATCACGGGGTCAGGAGATCAAGACCATCCTGGCCAACATGGTGAAACCCTGCCTCTATTTTTAAAAATACACATATATATTTTTCTTTCCTCAAGAATAAATTAACCTTGGTTTACTTTAACTTTTCTTTTTATAAACTTAAACACTTTTTGACTCTTGTAATAACACCTAGCTTAAAACACAAATACTTTGTACAGCTGCGCAAAAATATTTTCTTTATATCCTTATTCTGGGAGCAGGGTGGCCGTCTCTGGCCTCAGTCCACACAGGCAGGTGTGAAGCAGCAGCTGGGGCTGGTGCAGCCCGGCTTGAGTATGATCTCTGAATTCATCTGCCCGCGAGGGACGAAGGAGGACTTGCGTCTGCTGTCCACCAACTACTATGATTACAATGACATGGAGATGGACCAGGCGTAAGGCGAGGGCACACCTCTGTGTGTGTGTGTGTATGTGTGTGTGTGTGTGCATGCGTGCACACGCATGTGTGACCGGTGCCTCCCTGCTTGACTCAGAGACTGAGCAGAGGATATGGAATGGGAGGAAGGAGGCAATTTCCAATTGGCGCCTAGAAGTTTGCCATCCCAAGGCTGTGGCTCAGCTTCACCCATTTGGGGAGTCCCTAGGGATAAGCAGTCCTTGCAGTGATGCTGGGGTTTTGAGGACAAAAGCCTGGAGATCACGGCCACGTTCCTCTCCCACGCAGGATGGAGCGCTATGTCTCAGTGCCCAGGGAAGAGGCTGCACAACACATCCCTTTTTTCTTCATCTCTTCCCCATCAGCCAAGGACCCGACCTGGGAGAACCGATTCCCAGGTAGGGCTGTAGGTCCCGGTGGAGCCTGGAGTTGGGGTGAGGGGGTGGAAGGAAGAGCTGGGCAGCAGTAATACTGGCCCTGATCCCCAGACCGCTCCAACATGATCGTGCTCATACCCAGCACCTACGAGTGGTTTGAGGAGTGGCAAGCGGAGCTGAAGGGAAAGCGAGGCAGTGACTATGAGACCTTCAAAAGCTCATTTGTGGAAGCCTCTATGTCAGCGGTCATGAAACTGTTCCCACAGCTGGAGGGAAAGGTAGGGGGTAAAGTATTTGGGGTGGTGAAGGACCTCATGCTGCCATTTCCGCACTTTCCTTGACACGGGGGAATCAGGCCCCAAGACACCTGAGCCCCAGGGAAGGACGAGGCACCCACCCCTGCAGTCAGCACATGGGAGAGAGAAGAGGGAGGGGAGCCGGGATCTCACATTCCCGCCCACCCTTTGGCTGCCCTCTGTGCCCTCAGGTGGAGAGTGTGACTGCAGGATCTCCACTCACCAACCAGTTCTATCTGGCTGCTCCCCGAGGTGCCTGCTACGGGGCTGGCCATGACCTGGGCCGCCTGCACCCTCGTGTGATGGCCTCCTTGAGGGCCCAGAGCCCCATCCCCAACCTCTACCTGACAGGTACTCACTGCCCCATGTTGTCAGGACCTGAGACCCCGAGCCTCTGTTGCCCAGTGTCCTCTGTTCCTGTCCTCAGGCCCTGCTGTCCCCTGCAGCCTCCCATCCCCTGAGCAGGGCTGCCTGGGCAGGCTATGGCCCTGGTCCTGATCGGAGCCAGCTCTGGGGGTCCCTCATGAGGAGGGAGGAGCACCAGGGCCCCACCCTGGCCTGGGCCTGCCTGGGTGCACACTCAGGGCCTCTGCTCTTGCCTCCTAGGCCAGGATATCTTCACCTGTGGGCTGGCCGGGGCTCTGCAAGGTGCCCTGCTGTGCAGCAGCGCCATCCTGAAGCGGAATTTGTACTCAGACCTTAAGGATCTTGGCTCTAGGATCCAGGAACTGAAGAAGAAGAATTAGTTCTATCAGAGAGGAGTCGGAGGAATTTGCCCAGTGGCTGGGGCATCTCCCTTGACTTACCCGCAATGTCTGTCTGCATTAAATCCTTGCACTCACAAAGCACTCGAATTTGGTTCCGATTCCTCAGGAGAGACCTAGTTTAAATCACAGTTCTGAATCTGGGGCAATGAAACCATTGCTTCCAGCTGGGGCAGGTGACAATCTGTATGCATTTTGTAACATGCTGTCCCTACTAATAGGCTATTGACCTGGATAGGGTGATGTCTCATGATGAGCAGTGCTCTGAATCCCTCACCAGTGATCAAAGAGAATATTCCATGGATCAGGTGGATTGAACCCCTGGCAGCGCTGTTAGCTCAAGCCGGTGGGTTCAGTTCTGTCCTGAGGCTTCTGCTCTCATTCACTTGGTGCTGTGCTGCAGAGTTCTACACTGTCAAGGAAAAGGGAGACTCATGAGGCTTAACTCAAAACCTGGGCATGCTTTTGGTTGCCGTTCCATAGGTTCAGAGTTGTGCTGGGTCCAGTGGCTCTTCAGAGGACAGGAAATGCCTGTGTCTGGCCCTGCGTAGTTCTAGAGCATTAGGGTAACAACAGGATCCATTAATAGTGTGCATGTCAGAAGACCATATCCAATTCATATGGAAGTCCTGGGTCTGTCTTCCTTATGATCAGGGTGGCATCTGGTTCTTGATGTGCCAGCGTCAAGACACCTTCAGAGAGCTCAGGACCTGAGCCTCAATCAAGCCTAATCCTCCAAACACACAAGGAAGGGTGACATCAGGAGTCAGGGTATCGGCTGGTAAGATCAATACTTTGCTGGGCTGAAGCTGGCTTCAGGGCATTCCAGGCAAGGGCACAACAGGGGACAGCTCTGGGAGGTGTGGGGTAAGGAAGTCACATCAGAAAGAGGAAAGCCACAGAATATGTGTAAAGTCCAGAAATGGCACTTGTAGTTAATTAGCACGTGTGAGGGTTAGACAGCTGAATGAAAGCTTAAGATCTGGAAAAATGACTTTTCATTTATGTCTTTGGTATCAAACATACCAAAGGTCTTACTGTAGTTTGTGTTAATGTAACATTAATACATTTATTGATTCCATTTCTTTAACATTTGAAATTTATTTTGGTTTCTGCTCAACAATACTATATTGCAATGGTATTTCCAGAAGCTCAGTGAAATACTATGCACTGAAAAATACCAAAATAAGCCTTAAAAAATAAAATAAAGTAATTAAAAAGTTACAAAAAGTGGCCATCTACTGACTGGGCAAACGAAAAAGGAGAACAGTTTCAACACTCTGTCATTTATTGCACATGGAATCTGATGAATTAAAGGAATACCAACCAGGGTGTGGGGGCTGGCATACTGGCAGTTTGATGTACCATACAGTTCAGGGCTGGGTGCGTTGGCTCACACCTGTAATCCTAGCATTGTGGGAGACCAAGGTGGGTGGATTGCTTGAGCTCAGGAGTTCCAGACCAGCCTGAGCAACATGGCAAAACCCTGTTCCTATAAAAAATATTCACCCCTCCCCCCCAAAAAAATTAACTGGACATGGTGGTGTACCCCTGTAGTCTCAGCTATTCATGAAGCTGAGGTGGGAGGATCACTTGAGCCCAGGAGGTAGAGGTTTCAGTGAGCCAAGACTGTGACACTGCACTCCAGCCTGAGCAACAGAGTAAGACCCCATCTCAAAACAAACAAACAAACAAACAAACAAAAAAACCATGCAGCTCAGGCTCAAATGCTTTACAGAAGAGTTTCTAAATTGACAGATTTGGCCAAGTACAATGGCTCATATCTGTAATCCCAGCATTCTGAGAGGCTGAGGTGGGAGGATTGTTTGAACCCAAGAGTTTGAGGCCGCAGTGAGCTATGATCACGCCACTACACTCTAGCCAGGGTGACAGAACGAGACCCTCTCTCTCTCTAAAAAATAAAATAAAATAGCCGGGCGCGGTGGCTCAAGCCTGTAATCCCAGCACTTTGGGAGGCCGAGGCGGGTGGATCACAAGGTCAAGAGATCGAGACCATCCTGGTCAACATGGTGAAACCCCGTCTCTACTAAAAATACAAAAAATTAGCTGGGCATGGTGGCATGTGCCTGTAATCCCAGCTACTCAGGAGGCTGAGGCAGGAGAATTGCCTGAACCCAGGAGGCGGAGGTTGCAGTGAGCCGAGATCGCGCCATTGCACTCCAACCTGGGTAACAAGAGTGAAACTCCGCCTCAAAAAAAATAAATAAATAAATAAATAAAATAAAATAAAATAAATGGGAGCTTTAGTAAACTCATATCTGACCTGTAGAACCACCTGAGTTGAGAGTCACCCTTGGCTCTGGATGTACCGTTTAATTAAAGCTGAAAATCTCTCCCCGGGATTCCTACTGGAGCAAGTCACACCAAGCCCAGCCTTCCTAGCAAGAGTTCTCACAGCGTTCTAGCTCTCCAGACCTGTAGCATTCTGCATCAGGTTACCCTGTACAATTAAGGATAAGAGAAGACACCAGCATCACCAGGAGGGGAATTCCAGAGGTTTAGAATTCTGTCAGCACGTGTCACTGGAATTTATCATGGGGGGAATATGCCAGAGCTTATGTAACTAGCTGTCAGGTCTTCCCCTGCTGCCTCAGCCTCTCTACATAGACTTGTCTTCAACGTCGCCTAAGTCCAGAAGTGGACTCTTTATTTTTCTATTTTTCCTTTTTTTAAAAATTTTTCTTTTTCCCTGCTCCAAAAATCCATTTAATATATTGTCCTTGGATAGAGGACGTATCAGATATTAAACTGATAAGAATGGATACTACATTTGATCATAGCCAAGGGGCTGAGAAGCCATCAGAAGTGGACTCTTTAGCAATTCTACTCAGGAATCTGCAGCAGGAAAACAGGTTCCTCTATTAACTCCATGACTGAAGCACAGATTCATCTAATAGAAATCACCCGTCAACCAAAAGCTGGGTACAGGATCATGCCTGTAATCCTAGCACTTTGGGAGGCCCAGGCAACTAAGGTTGGGAGTTCGAGACTAGCTTAGCCAACATGAAAACCTGTCTCTACTAAAAGTACAAAAATTAGCTGGGTGTGGTGGCGGGTGCCTGTAATCCCATCTACTCAGGAGACTGAGGCAGGAGAATCACTTAAAACAGGGAGGCAGAGGTGGCAGTGAGCTGAAATAGCACCACTGCACTCCAGCCTGGGCAACAAGAGCCAGACTCTGTCTCCAAAAAAAAAAAAAAATTGCCGGGCACAGGGAGGGAGGCCCTTAGCTGACTACAGGAGGTGGCTCTTGTGGCTCCACATGCTCCTTACACACCACCCCTAGCTTCAGCTATGCCTCAGCCAGCTCACCCTCATCTACACAATCTCTAGGAAACATGCTTCAAATATTCTGTCTTTGAAAAGACAACCATGCAGAAAATAAGCTTTCATTTACCGTATAGTATTTTCTTCAGTGCAGTTTCTAAAGGCAAACTTGAATTCAATTGTACCCTTTCTGTACAAGAAATGAAACTTCTCAGAGGCTCAAAAGATGAGCTCTGTGGACTCCATGACAAAATGTACACACCCTCTGCCAACGATCTTGGTTTCTAAAACCAACCTTTCTTCTTGCTCTCCTTTTTAAGAGCAAAACCCAACGTGTATAAGGTCATAGCAAATAGTAGCCGGGAAAAGCTGGGAGACCCCAGTCATATCCAGAGGGCATGAAGAAAGAAAACATCTCCTCTGCCAAAGGCAAAATGGAGTTTGTGAACCAGGCATGGTGGCTCACGCCTGCAATCCCAGCATTTTGGGAGGCCAAGGCGGCTGATCATCTGAGGTCAGGACTTTGAAGCCCGCTTGGCTAACACAGTGAAAACCTGTCTCTACCAAAAATACAAAAATTAGCTGGGCATTGTGGTGGGCACCTCTAATCTCAGCTACTTGGGAGGCTGGGGCAGGAGAATTGCTTGAACCCAGGAAGAGGAGGTTGCAGTGAGCCAAGAACACACCATGGCACTGCAGCCTAGGCGCCAGAGCAAGACTCTTGCAGACCAAAACCAAGACCCTCCTTCATGTTTTCTTGCATAAAGCATGAGCCTGTCCTATTTCAAAAAGTTCCTACTAAGTATGATTGTGTGAAAGATCACATTGTTTCGGCCAAGTACGGTGGCTCATGCCTGTAATCCCAGCCTTTTGGGAGGCTGAGGTGGGCGGATCACAAGGTCAGAAGATGAGACCATCCTGGCTAACATGGTGAAACCCCATCTCTACTAAAAATACAAAAAATTAGCCGGGCATGGTGATGCACGCCTGTAGTCCCAGCTATTTGGGAGGCTGAGGCAGGAGAATTGCTTGAACCCCAGGAGGCGGAAGTTGCAGTGAGCCAAGATTGAGCCACTGTACTCCAGACCGGGCAAGAGGGCAAAACTCGGTCTCGAAAAAATAAAAAATAAAAAGAAAGATCACACTGTTTTAAATCATATTTATTTTAAAAATCTGTGATGGGATAGTGGCCTCACTGCCAGGAAGCCCAAGTTCTGTTTTACGCTGTTTTATACAACCAAGTGGAAGTTGATTCACTTTGTCTCAATTCTGATTCTATCTTTCCCCTACTTAAAATTCTAGCGATATCATTATTGTTAACATAAAATATAAAACCCTGGGCATGGCCCAAGAGTTCTGCATGATTTGGACTCCTTTCCTCTATTGTCTAGTAGTTTGGACACCAGGTCAGGCTTAATAATTTACTATTCCCCTCAGCAGGCACACACCCCCTTGATAAGCCAATATCTTTAAATGTTAGTTAAACAATAATTTACGGGAGATAGAAAGAATTTTCTTTTCTTTTCTTTTTTTTTTTTTTTTTTTTTTGAGAGTCTCACTCTGTCGCCTAAGCTGGAGTGCAGTGGTGCAGTCTCAACTCCCTGCAACCTCTGCTTCCCAAGTTCAATTGATTCTCCTGCCTCAGACTCCTGAGTAGCTGAGATTACAGGCATGCACTAACAGGCCCAGCTAATTTTTTTTTTTGTATTTTTAGTAGAGATGGGGTTTCACCATGTTGGTCATGCTGGTCTCGAACTCCTGATCAAATGATCTGCGTGCCTTGGTCTCCCAAAGTGCTGGAATTACAGGCTTGAGACACCATACCTGGCCACCAAGATTTTCTCTTTTCTTTCCTCTCCTTTCTCTCTCTCTCTCTCTCTCTCTCGCTCTCTCTCTCTCTCTCTCTCTCTCTCTCTCTCCCCCCGCACTCCCGTTTCTCTCTTTTCATTGTTTGGGGCAGAGTCTTGCTCTGTGGGCTAGGTTGGAGTGCAATGTGACCTGATCATACCTCACTGCAGCCTCCACCTACCAACACTCAAGCAATTCTCCCATCTCAGTGCTCCTGGGACTACAGGTGCACACCACCGTGCCCAGCTAATTTTTAAAATTATTTGTAGAGATGAGGTTTCACCATGTTGCCCAGGCTGGTCTTGAACTCCTGGCCTCAAACAATCAGCTGGCCTAGGCCTCCCAACCAAAGTGCTGGGATTACAGGCGTGAGCTACTGCACCTGGCCAGAGTTTTCTTTTAGAAAAAATTAATTTACCAATTCATTTCCTTTAGCCAAGGCGGAGTCAAGGTTCTGAAATAATCTGGTAAAAGATTTCTCACTTCCTGTAATTCTTATTCTCTCTTCAATAATGAGTGTATGTGTGAGAGACATTTTCTTACAACAGGTAAACATACTGAGAAGCATATTAATTGTTTTTTAAATTAAAAAATATCCAACCTGGGCGAGAGACCCTGTCTCAAAAAAATAAAAATAAAAATAAAGCACTTGTTCCTGAAAACTATATGCTGCATACTATTCCTCGTAATTCTGAAGAATTATAATTGATTAGAACTGCATATCATGTAAGCCAAATATTGCACTCAGTAGACTATAGAGGAGTTACTTCCCTTGGCAGCTATAGTTCTTTCTGGCAGGAGTGGGACTAGTTTACATTTCAAGCAAAGTTAACTGACACATGGCCGGGTGTGGTGGCTCACACCTGTAATCCCAGTACTTTGGGAGGCCAAAGTGGGTGGATCACTTGAGGTCAGGAGTTCAAGACCAGCCTGGCCAACGTGGTGAAACACGGTCTCTACTGAAAATACAAAAATCATCCGGGGATGGTGGTGGGTGCCTGTAATCTCACCTATGCGGGAGGCTGAGGCAGGAGAATCATTTGAACCTGGGAGGCGGAGGGTACAGCAAGCTGAGATCATGCCACTGAACTCTAGCCTGGGCGACAGAGGGAGACTGTCTCAACAACAACGAAAACCCACAAAGTTAACTGGCATATTTTCTGTTGTACTTTTTGTGCTTAGTAGATTCATGTTCTCGACAATTCTCAGATCATTTGCTCTTTAAGCTGGCTCTGCTCCAGCCTCATTCCTGCCTTTGTCCCTGTTCTCTATTATCTGGCAATGATAGTCTTTAGATTTACACAAAATACTAGGTCCCTACCTGTCTGCAGGCCATCGTATTAGGTTGGTGCAAAAGTAAACGCTGTTTTTGTCACATGGCAAAACTGCAATTGCTTTTGCATCAACCTAATACATGCTGTAAACTCAGCCACGAACGCCCATCTTCCCCTTCCCTTCATCTTCACCTGGGACATAGCTACAACCTTTGGTCCTCGGCTTACGAGTCGCTTCCTCAATTGATCTCATAGTTTCTGCACTTTTCTTTCTGGCAGTTCTTGGAATGTGCATGCACGCATGCACATTTGTGTAGATATTTAATATTTATGTAACCCACTAGATTACATGCTCCATGAAGTTAATACCTACTTTAAAAATTCGATATAACGTAGTTGTACATACTTATGGGATACATGTGGCATTTTCTTTTCTTTTTTTTTTTTTTTTTTGAGACGGAGTTTCGCTCTTGTTACCCAGGCTGGAGTGCAATGGCGCGATCTCGGCTCACCGCAACCTCCGCCTCCTGGGTTCAGGCAATTCTCCTGCCTCAGCCTCCTAAGTAGCTGGGATTACAGGCACGCGCCACCATGCCCAGCTAATTTTTTGTATTTTTAGTAGAGACGGGGTTTCACCATGTTGACCAGGTTGGTCTCGATCTCTCGACCTCGTGATCCACCCGCCTCGGCCTCCCAAAGTGCTGGGATTACAGGCTTGAGCCACCGCGCCCGGCTAGACATGTGGCATTTTCATACAGGTATACGATATGTAATGACCAAATCAGGGTAACTGGAATATCCATGACCTCAAACATTTGTGTTGGGAACATTACAATTCTTCTAACTATTTTGAAATTTACAATGTTATTGTTAACTATAATTTTCCTACTGTGGTGTTGACTCCAGGGCTTACTCTTCTTATGTATCTGTATTTTTGTACCCACTAAACAACTTCTCTTTATTGTCCCTCTCCCCTCTTCCCTTCTCAGCCTCTGGTAACCACCATTGTACTCTCTACTTTCATGAGATCCACCAGTCTCAGCTACTTGCAAGGCTGAGGTGGGAGATCACTTGGGCCCACGAAGCGGAGATTGCAGTGAGCTGAGATTGTGCCACTGCACTCAAGCCTAGGTGATAGAGCGAGATTCTGACTCAAAAAAGAAAAGAAAAGAAAAGAGATGGGGTTTTGCCATGTTGCCCAGGCTGGTCTGCAACTTCTGGGCTCAGGTGATCCTCCTGTTTCAGCCTTCCAAAGTACTAAGATTACAGAAGTAGATATCTCTTCGATATACTTATTTCCTTTCTTTTGGATATATACCCAGCAGTGGGAATACTGGATCATATGGCAGCTCTATTTTCAGTTTTTTGAGAAACTCTATGTGTTGTTTTCCTTTATTTTTTTATAGAGACAGGGTCTTGCTATGTTGCCCAGGCTGATCTCGAACTCCTGGGCTCAAGCCTTCTGCCTGCTTCAGCCTCCCAAGGTGCTGGGGCTACAGGTGTGAGCCTCCATGCTCCGCTAATACTGTATTCCATAATGGCTATCCTAATCTACATTCCCACCAACAGGATATGAGCATTCCCTTTTCTTCTCATCCTTGTATTTTTTTTTTTCTTTTGATAACAGCCATTCGAACTGGGGCTGAGATGATCTCTTACTGTGGTTTGGATTTGCATTTCCCTGATTAGTGATAATGAGCATTTTAAAATATATGTGTTGGCCATTTGCATGTCATCTTTTGAGATGTATCTATTCAGTAGGTCTTTGGCTTACTTCTTTTTCTTTTTTTGAGACGGGTTCTCACTCTGTTTCCTAGCCTGTAGTGCCTTGGTAAGATCTTGGCTCACTCACTGCAACCTCTGCCTCCCAGGTAGAAGCACTTCTCTCATCCTCAGCCTTCTGAGTAGCTGGGATCACATGCACAGGCCACCATGCCCTGCTAATTTTTTGTTTTTGTATTTTGGTAGACACGGGGTTTCATCATGTTGCCCCGGCTGGTGCCCATTTTTTAATCAGATTTTTTTCCTTCAGTTTCTTATGTTTCTTCCACTGTGTAGGGGGTTTCTTCACTTTGTTTCCTTTGCTGTGCAGAAGCTTTTTAACTTGATGTAATCCCATTTCTTACATTGTCTTCAAAGCACCTAGCCTAGCAAACGTTCATAAAGTGATTTCAAACATTTAATGTATAAACATAACAGTAACTGTAAACTGTGGGATATAAAACTGTTTACCTGATTATCCCAGTATGGGGAGAAAATAAATATGTATGGAAAAAAAGGGAAATATACTAAGAAGAGAACACACCTTTTTTTTTTTTTTTTAACAAAACTAGATGGAAACATAATAAACTAATGTAAGCGATAACCTGTGGAAGAGTAGGGAGGAAGACTTTTCTAAAGTCTATTTACTTTAAAATCTGGTTTTGATTTCTGAAACATTGTATTATCTAATCAAAACATTGAATGTTTACCGGGCAGACAATACACTAAAACATTAATAGTGATTATCCCAGAAGGGTGGGAGTCAGATTTTGTTTTCCGCTTCTCTACATTTAAGATTGGAAAAAAGGGACACTTTTTGGAAAAGATGTCTGGCAACCTCGGAGGACTCCGTCTCCGTGGAGTCGGGAAGGAGGAGGACCGGGATGCGAAGGCAGCGCTTTGTAGGTCATCGAACAGATTTGTTCCCACATGGCAGCGACCAGAGCACAGCATGTTTGCGTACTGCGAGGAGGGAACCACGAAAAAGGCAGAGCTTAGAAACGCAAGCACTGGATGGTAGTGGCCCAGAGGTGCCTGGCCCCAGCGACTTCACTCCCGCGGCCAGCAGGCGAGGCGAGGGCGCTCCTGCTCGGCCTGTAAGGTCTAGGAAGTACGAGGCGGAGAGGACGAAAAACGGAGGGCCAGTCTGTCGTGGCTGCGGTGAAGAGAAACAGGAAGAGGCTCGCGCTCCACTCGGGGACCTTAAGCTCCGCAACGGAAGACGGACACAGGCAACCGCAGCAGCCGCTTCCCCGAGTCCCCGCCCCTTGACCCGGCGGAAGCGGGAGGCGGAGAAGCGCGCGCAGCAGGGGCGGGGCTGGAGAGGGACCCCACCCGCGGATCTCGCGGGAGCGTTAGAGGACGGAAGCGCTGTCTGAGCAGGATGCGGGTCGTGGTTGCGTTGGTCCTCCTGAGCATCTCAGCGGCGGGTAAGACCCTCCACCCCGCATCCCACTCTTGCCCCCAGCCCCCCAGTCTCACCTCGGGCGGTCACCATGTAGGCTCGCTTCTTCCCTGCCCGACCCACCTCTCCGCTAGCCATCGGCTCCCGCCCCACCCCGCAATCCCCGTTCGCCCTCTGCCCCCGATCTCTTCCAGCTCTGAGGAGTTCCTTGTTCCGGCCTGCCCTTCTCCGGTGCTAATTTGTTTTTCTATTTCAGGAGCCGCTCCGCTCCCAAAGTCTCAAACTCCCAAGAAAGAAGAAGGTGCAGTTCGGCCTTCTACAGGAGGCGACTCCAACCACCCCACCTCGAGCCAGCTGCTTGGAGGCTCTACCAAGTCGGAACAGGAGCCGCAGACTCCAAAAGACAGCTCTAGCAAGCCGAATTCAGGGGCGCAGACCCAAAAAGACAGCCCCGGCAGGTCAGGTGCGGACACGCAGACCCCAGAACACGGTACCAGCCAGTCTGGTGTGGACACGCAGACCCCAGAACACGGTACCGGCCGATCGGGTGCGGACGGGCAGACCCCTGAACAAGGCACCAGCCAGTCGAGTGCGGACACGCAGACCCCAAAACACGGCCCCAGCCAGTCTGGTGTGGACACGCAGACCCCAGAACACGGTACCGGCCGATCGGGTGCGGACGGGCAGACCCCTGAACACGGCACCAGCCAGTCAGGTGCGGACGGGCAGACCCCAGAACACGGCACCAGCCAGTCGGGTGCGGACGCGCAGACCCCAAAACACGGTCCCAGCAAGTCGGGTGCGGAGTCACAGGCCCCAAAAGACGGATCTAGCAAGTCGGGTGCGGAGGCCCAGACCCCAGAACACGGCAAGTCGGGTGTGGAGGAGCAGACCCCAGAACATGGCAAGTCGGGTGTGGAGGAGCACACCCCAGAACACGGCAAGTCGGGTGCGGAGTCACAGGCCCCGAAAGACGGATCTAGCAAGTTGGGTGCGGAGGCCCAGACCCCAGAACACGGCAAGTCGGGTGTGGAGGAGCAGACCCCAGAACATGGCAAGTCGGGTGTGGAGGAGCACACCCCAGAACACGGCAAGTCGGGTGTGGAGGAGCAGACCCCAAAAGACGGCTCTAGCAAGGTGGTTTCAGAGCAGCCTTCCAGGAAAGACCACGCCAAGCCCATCTCCAACCCCTCTGACAAGGAGCTCCCCAAGGCTAACACAAACCAGCTAGCTGACAAAGGGAATCCTTCTCGGCCTGCTTTCAAAACCGAATCTGGGGAGGACACTGACCTCGTCTCTCCTCCTCAGGAGGAAGAAGGTAAGTCTTCAGAGCGTACTGAGGATGTGGAGCCCAAAGAGGCTGAAGATGATGATACAGGACCTGAGGAGATCTCACCGCCCAAAGAAGAAAAAGAAAAGGTGTCCGGTTCTGCCTCCAATGAGAACCCTGATGGGACACTTTTGGGGAAGGATGACCCTTATAAGGACAGCTCTGAAAGTGCCAGCGCGGAGAGCAGCCACTTCTTTGCATATCTGGTGACTGCAGCCATTCTTGTGGCTGTCCTCTATATCGCTTATCACAACAAGCGGAAGGTAAGTCGAGAGTGGCCTTCAGGAGGGGAGTGGGATTTCCTGCACTCTGGAAGCTTGGGTGTGGGTGAGTAACCCGTCACTTACCTGCCCGTGAGCATTGGGGATTTTAAGACGAACTTGTTTTCCTTAGGCACCGCTAGGCCTCTGTACTCTTGTTTGATGAATCATGTTTTCAACCTGTCACCTGTCCTCTGAGTGTTCTCTGCCGCTGCATTAGGAGCCAAGTTAGGACATTATTAGGATGTGGCATCTCCTCCCGTAACTGAATTTAGGCCCTTCACAGCCTCAGGGGACCTGAGTACTGGACAGTTATAGCACGTACCTTCCATCCTGTTTCCATTCTTGAGGCTGTGCGTCATTGCTAGCTTCCTTTCCCCACATTCTGTCTTCCATCAGCAGTGGCACAAAGAATGGTTTCTATTACTCTGTCTTTGATACCAGCAGCAAAGAACCCAGGGACTTTTCTGCAATCAATAATAATTAGAAGAAAAGCCAGAAAGTGCACAGACATGTACACCTTTTACTTTTTCAGCAGGGTTTGGTCTGTTTCTTAGCAACCACTCTAATGACAAAATGATTGGATTTCTTATTGAGCCCCCAAAATTTAGAAGATAGTTTCTGTGGCTGGGCGCGGTGGCTCACGCCTGTAATCCCAGCACTTTGGGAGGCCGAGGCAGGTGGATCACGAGGTCAAGAGATCGAGACCATCCTGGTCAACATGGTGAAACCCCGTCTCTACTAAAAATACAAAACATTAGCTGGGCATGGTGGCGCGTGCCCGTAATCCCAGCTACTCAGGAGGCTGAGGCAGGAGAATTGCCTGAACCCAGGAGGCGGAGGTTGCGGTGAGCCAAGATCGCGCCATTGCACTCCAGCCTGGGTAACAAGAGCGAAACTCCGTCTCAAAAAAAAAAAAAAAAAAAGATAGTTTCTGTAACCTGCTTAAAGTTGGAGAGTTCAATTAATGCTGCCATAAGGCCTGTGGCTATAAAGAATAGAGGGGAAGACCTTTAGTAAAAATGGACGTTCTTGGCCAGGTGCAGTGGCTCATGCTTGTAATCCCAGCACTTTGGGAGGCCGAGGTGGGAGAATTGCTTGAGCCCAGGAGTTTGAGACCAGCCTGGCCAACATAGCAAGAACTCATCTCTACACATAGTAAAAAATTTAGCCAGATGTAGTGGTGCACATGTGTCGTCCCAGCTGGGAGTATGGCTTGACTGTGGGAGGTTGAGGCTTGAGTGGGCCGTGATCATGCCATTGCACTCCAGCCTGAGTGAGACCTTGTCTCAAAAAAAAAAAAAAAAAAAAAAAAAAGCATTTCTTATTCTACCTCCAAGTGTTCATTATGCAGGGTAACCTTGGGTGTGAAATGAGAGTGATAAAGAGTATAGCTGTTGATGTAGCAGCGTGGGGTGAAAGAGTACATTTGTAGATAGGAAATTCTGATTATGATTTTTTTTAAAGAAATGTCCTATCCTAGACTTCTCTGGGAAGGAGTTGATAGATCTTTGACTATGTACCTTTGAGTAAATCATACAGACTCCCTCCACATGCTAGAGCTCAGAAAGCTTTTTATTTGTTATCTCCTATTAAGCAATACAAAGGATTCTGATGTAATTAGATTCTTTCTTAAAATTGCTACAGTTTAAATAGACTTCTGTGAGTGTACTGGTCTTTCTGCAGTCAAGGTCATTAACAAATATACTACCAGGTAACAGCCTCTTTTTTCAGAGGCTGAACTGTGTCATTACAGAACCACCTGTTAATCATTTTCTTTTTCCTGTCCTCAGATCATTGCTTTTGTCCTGGAAGGAAAAAGATCTAAAGTCACCCGGCGGCCAAAGGCCAGTGACTACCAACGTTTGGACCAGAAGGTAAGGAAGGAGGACCAGGTCCATGGGAGGGATAGGCAACCTCAGATGGACCCAGTAGTGGGCTTGCATTTGCCATGGCAGCAACAGCCAATTCTGGGGGTGCTGTTGCTATTGCATTCGCCCTTTTTAGACCACAAACTAGAAATATCTATATACACATATCTATGACTAGAGCTAGAAGAGACCTTCAAATACTCTCCAGCAGCTCCCTCCCTTGACTGATGAAGAAATAAACCCACCCAGAAACACTCATTTTTTTTTTTTACTGCAAGTTAGTGGCAAAATCAGGACCTGATAGCAACTCCCTAGTCTCCCAGTCCTGAGCTTTCTGCATTCTACCAGAGCTCCATAAACTTTTAACAGGCAATTTGAATCACCTTGGGAATTTTGATCTTGGCTCACTACAACCTCCACCTTCCAGGTTCAAGCAATTCTCCTGCCTCAGCCTCCCAAGTAGCTGGGATTACAGGTGCCACCACCATGCCCAGCTAATTTGGTATTTTTAGTAAAGATGGGATTTCTCCATCTTGGTCAGGCTGGTCTCGAACTCCCAGCCTCAGGTGATCCGCCTGCCTCAGCCTCCCAAAGTGCTTGGATTACAGGTGTGAGCCACCATGCCCAGCCTATTTCTACATTCTTAAGATTCCCAGGTGAAGCCAAATGCCATTGGATCCACACTTTCTGTGGTAAAGCGCTGGATTACGGTCCCTGGAAACAGACAAGCCCAGAAGCACATAGGCCTCCAGCTCCCACATCAGCCTGGCTTAAGCACTGTGGGCTGGAGTTCTGAGTACCACCAATCCATTACTCTGCCAGGGAGATAAGCCCTCCTTCCACCCCATGGCAGCAGAGCTGAACAAGGCAAAGACAACCTGTCTAAGCAGGAAGACTACTCTCACTGAGTTGCTACCAGCATGCACCCTTCCTTCTGCCTTCAGCATAACAACAGGGAGGACATTAGCAAAGAACCATTGGTGACTCAACTATGAATTGTTCCCAGACTACCTACAGGGAACACAATTCTCTTGTACAATTCATGATTAGCTACAGAACGAGCCACTGAGCTCAGAACATCTTTGCTAACTAGTCCAGTAGGCCAGCTTCGCAATTTAGCTCTGGTCTACTAGCTTTTCAGATAATTGGCTTTAAGGATTTCCTCCTTTTATGATTTTTAAAAAAATAAACATGTGGCTGGGCACAGTGGTTCATGCCTGTAATCTGAAAACTTTGGGAGTCCGAGGCAGGTGGATCACCTGAGGTCAGGAGTTGGAGACCAGCCTGGCCAACATGATGAAACCCCATCTCTACTACAAATAGAAAAATTAGCTGGATGTGGTAATGCACACTTGTAATCCCAGCTACTACACAGGAGGTCGAGGTAGGAGAATCGCTTGAACTTGGTAGGCGAAGGTTTCAGTGAGCCAAGATCACACCACTGCACTCCAGTCTGGGTGACAGAGCATGACTCTGTCTCAAAAAAAAAAAAAAAAACAAAAAACCACCAACCAAAAAACACGTCTAAGTAATTCACAACACTGTAGAAGAGTGTGAAGCTGCAGAAGCCAGGATACCTGTCTCTCTCTCCATCAAGTGTATATCTTTCTAGTGTATGTTTGATCTCAAACTAACTTTAAAAATCATTTTGTGTTATTATTCATTATTAATTATTCTTTTAATTAATTGCTGTTTCTGTGGTGGTGGGTCAGTATATCTTAATTCTGAACGTTTTCCCTGCAGCTCCTAAAAGATCTTTTTTTTTCCCCCCCCAAAGTCTTAACAGTATGGTATATTCCTCTGGAAAAAGATGAACGTCACCAATGGATTGTGCTGCTCTTGTTTCAGCTTTGATTTTTTTGTCCTTGAGAACTTTGTCCTCCCTGCTGATTTGTTTCTAAATCAAAAGAAATGAAGAAAAAAGTACTGTGACCTAAGAGACACCCTCCTCTGGGGTTTGGTGGCAAGTCTGGGCTGACAGAGGTAGGGGGTTGCTTTGGGGTTTGCACCTGCACTTTGGTGACATTGTTCTCCTGTGCTCCCTTTATTTGTGCTGGTGGCTTCCATCCGTTCCTCCTCTGAGTGTGAGCGGAGGGACATGTGGAAACACAGCTATGACCAAAGGGAGATCCTAGCCTAGGCAGGTTGAGCTGCTGGCCGCCCTCCCTGGGGCCTGGGCTCTGTAGGAAAGCTGGCCCTTGACTGTGGGGTTATACTTTCCACTGTTTCTGCAGACCTAGGGGAAAACTGCAGGTAGACGTGATTTTCTACTAAGGCCTCTTACTTTAGGGGGATGTGCCTACAAAAGACATAGAAGGTGGGGAAATGCCAATAGGCAAAGGGCTGCTTTGAACACCTACTTCTCTTCAGAGACTTCAGCAGTGAACGGAAACAGCAGGTTAAAAAAAAGTGCTTTTTTGTGTATGCAAGTCTAAGCTGTCTAGCATGAGTTCTTCTTGGCTTTCTGATTATTTTATGTAGCTTGAGACAAATTGAATCACCTTCTGCTTGGTTGTACTGAGCATAAAACAGAACTTGGGCTTCCTGGCAGTGAGACCACTGTCCCATCACAGATTTTTAAAATAAATATGATTTGAAATAGTGTGATCTTTCACACAATCATATTCAGTAGGAACTTTTTGAAATAGGGCAAGTTCATGTTTCATGTGAGAAAACATGAAGGAGGGTTTTGGTTCTGGTCTGCAGTTTTTCCAAAGGGCTTTTATGAGATACATTTTCCACATTTCCCAAAACTCCATTTTGCCCTTGTTGCCTAAAACAGACAAAATAGACTTACTTTATTAATAGAAACTAACCATACTCTCTGCCCATTTTACCTCAGTGTATTTAATGGTCCTTTCCTCTAAGATGCCAAGGGTAATTGTTAAAAATTCTCCTTCCATGCCATGTCAGGAGTTAATACAATTTAAGAAATTCTGCGGGTTTCCCTGGGATAAGTGAGGGTAGTGTCTTGGACCACGCTATTGTTTGAAGGTTCATCTCTTCTAGTCATGCTCTACCACACTGTAGAGAGCCTAAAGAGAGTTGTTTCAGAGCTGATCTCAGGGAAATACAAATAACTTGGGAGGTGAGAGAAATAAGATTAATTCTGTGCTGTCAAGGCAGTCTGAAGAGAGGACCATGCTTCTTATATTATCTTCCACCTTGTGTAAAACAGCCCATAGCTTTGAGTTGGCATTTTCATTTTTGATAGGTGGCCTACTTTATGGAGGTAAGGAATGAACACCTACCCTTTTTGGATCATTCTCTGTACTGATGTGTCAGTCGTACTTTGTACCAACCTGAAGAATCTTCTTTAAGCCTCCTCTAACATCCCCTAAGACCACCCTCTCCCTGCCTGCCTCCCTTTTCCCTGCCTTTCCCCTCCTCATGTTTTCAGGTTGTGCCCATCTATACCAGCTCCTTTCCTCCCACCTTCATGGGCGCCCAGATTTTTCTGTTCTCATCTGTGCTATTTGTTATCCATCATGCTGCTCAGCTTCTCCAATAAGTTGCTTCCCTGAAGTTGCCATTCATTTCTCTTCATGACTTTTACCAACTCACTTAGCTCTCTGTCAACTATGCTTTTCTAAAGGTTACCAGTTATTCTAAAGGTTACCAGTTATCAGATCACCAAATCATGGCTTTTTCTCAAAACTTAATCCTGTCCTTGATAGAACTGGACACTATTGACCATCCAGATGGAAATTCCCTTCTTGGTATCTCTGACAAATAGTCCTTTGCTTATCTTGTGCTGGTGGGGAAGAGGCCCTCAAAGCCAGGCCTCTGTATACGTTTGACTGTCTGCTCAGCCATTCACCTTCATCCTCCGAGTGAGTGATTCCCAAGTCTTTGTCTTGGCCTTGTTCCTAAAGAACCCAGTCCTGCTGGTGTCGAATAGTTCAACTTGGTTGTCACTGAATGGAATTTTTCTCTTCTACCCATCAGCCTGCCCCTCCCAACTGTCCACTATCTTCAGTCACCTGAATGCCTAACTGCAGACTTTTGCCCTTTTTCTCTCTCATCACCAAAGTCTTACCCATTTTTCTTGAAAAAAGATCCTTAGCTGGCCAGGTATAATGGCTCACGCCTGTAATCCAAGCACTTTGGAGGCCAAGGTGGGCAGATCACCTGAGGTCGGGAGTTCAAGACCAGCCTGACCAACATGGTGAAACCCCGTCCTTTAAAAAAAAAAAAAAAAAAAAAAAAAGATCCTTAGCTATAATCTTTCCATTTTCCTTGCTTCCCTTGTTGCACACCCCCAACTCATTTTGCTTCTCTCTTGAATTTTGTTTTTTCATATCTACATTAATTGGGTTTCCTATCCAGCTTCTTAGAAGCTCAATCTTGGAAAGACTGATCTTTCCAAAATATTTGCCCTGGTCTGAAGCTTTGGTCTCCAATTCTCAAGGCTTAGAGGATCCAGTTACAGACCATTTGGGGTTCAGGATGCCGTAGACTGACACGCTCCTGCCTTTCTCTGCATCCCAACCTGGCCAAAGCCCCTCCTGTGGGGTGCCCACCTGTGCCTTTATTCTGGCTGTGCCCTCCACTTCCTGGCTTCCCATGGTTCTTTGGTGAGGTTTCTCTCCCTTCTCTTCTTTCTCCTGCCTTCCCCAATCTGCCTGTTTCTTCAGGGCCCAGCTAATTTCCTCGTACACCTTCCTCACTACTCCACCCCACGTTGTCGACTCTTTCTCTCAGTTCCACTAGCTCTTCATCAGGCCACTCATTTTGGAACTTCAGCAAAACAGGGCAGTCAGGATCTGATGTCTTTCTGATCTCCCCAAGAAAACTAAGCTCTTGAGGGACAGCCCTTGGCAGTGCTTTCCTATCTGCTGAGCATGGTGACATTCCTTAGAACTTCCAGAGTTCAGTTCCTTCTGGCAGAGGAGATGTTTTCTTTCTCCATGCCATATGGTTGTGACTCAAATGAGGGGTCCCACAGCTTTTCCTGGCTACCACTTGCTGTGACCTAATACATGCTGGGTTTTGTTCTTAAAGAGGAGAGCAGGAAGAAAGAGGTTGGTTTCAGAAACCAAGAGGGTTGGCAGTTGATGCATACATTGTGTCAGTCCACAGAGCTGAGCTTTTGAGCCTCTGAGAAGTATCATTTTTTATGTGTTGAAAGAATACAACAGGATTTAAGTTTCTCTTTAGAAATTGCACTGAATACTGCACATCAAAGGAAAACTTATTTTCTGCTTGGTGGTCTTTTCAAGGATAGAATATTTGAAGCATGTTTCCTAGAGATTGTGTGGATGAGGGTGAGCTGGCTGAGACACTGCTCAAGCTAGGGGTGTGTAGGGAGCACATGGAGCCACAAGAGCTACCTCCTACAGTCAGCTAAGGGCTTCCCTTTCCCACTCCCAGCTTTTGGTTGAAGTTTGATTTCTGTTCGAGAAATCTGTGCTTCAGTTATAGATGTTAATAGAGGAACTTGTTTTCCTGCTGCAGATTCCTGAGTAGAATTGCTCAAAGAGTCCACTTCTGGACTCAGGGCAAGTTGAAGGCCAGTCTCTATGTAGAAAGGCTAAGGCAACAGAGAAACACCTGACAGCTAGTTACATAAGCTCTGATATAGTCCCCCCACAATGGCTTCCAGTGACACATGTGCTGATAGAATCCTAAACCTCTGGAATTTCCCTGCTGGCGACTTCTGTGGTCCTTGACTGTACGGGGTAACCTGATGCCAGATGCTGTGGGCGTGACGAGAACTATAGCATTGCAGTGTGGAGGAGGCACCAGGCCCTGAGCTTTTGCAGGCCATTTCTGAAAACTCCCGTTAGTGAGGTTGCGTTTGTCATGACTTGCTTGAGCAAGAGTCCTGGGGAGAGATTTTGAGGTTGAATTTGATACATCCATACCCAACAGTGACTTAACTTGGCTAGTTCCACAAGTCACATGTGAATTTAGTCTCCTCTGTGAAGGGTTTGGGTCCGAGATATATAGTAGATCAAACTGCCAGTAAGCCAGCCCCTCACCTTCTGATAGACATTCCTTTAATTCACCAGACTCCATCTTTGATACATGATTGATGATTGAAATTGTTTCTCTTCTTGCTTTCTCAGTTAATAGATGGCCACTGTTTCACAATGTTTTATATTTTCAGCTTTTTGTAACTTAACTGTAAACTTTATTTTTTTAAGGCTCATTGTGGTCTAATGATAAGTATTTTTCAGTACATAATGTTTTTCTGAGCTTCTGTAAATGTCATCCCAATGTAGTTTTGTTTTGTTGAATGGACGTCAAAATAAATTTCAAATGTTAAAGCCAAGGATTTAATAAATTTATTAATATTACATTTAAGACGAACTACAATAAGACTTTGGCATGTCAGTTTAACGTAAGTGAAAGGTCGCTTTTATGCCTCTTGAGCCTTCATTCACCTTCCATCCAACACACACGTACCATAAATTGCCGATGCCATTTCTGAACTTTGCACACTTTCTCTGGCTTTGTGTGTTCTGCCCCTGACCAACTCTCATGCCACCTGACTCTTCCCAGCCTGGTGGCCTGTGTTGCAGTCAGTAGCTGAGCCATTGCTGGGTACATTCTGTTGCCTCCCCGTGTTGTTCCCTGCTGTGCCATTGTCTAGAATGCCTTGCAGCCTGCCTCAACACAATGAAGTCATCTTACCAGTCGATACCCTGACTCGTGAAGTCACCCTTCCTTGTGTATTTGGAGGATTAGGCTTGATTGAGGCTCAGGTTCTGAGCTCTCTGAAGGTGTCTTGATGCTGGCACATCAAGAACCAGATGCCACCCTGATCATAAGGAAGACAGACCCAGGACTTCCATATGAATTGGATATAGTCTTCTTTTTTTTTTTTTTTTTTTTTTGAGACGGAGTTTCGCTCTTGTTAGCCAGGCTGGAGTGCAATGGCGCCATCTCGGCTCACCGCAACCTCCGCCTCCTGGGTTCAGGCAATTCTCCTGCCTCAGCCTCCTGAGTAGCTGGGATTACAGACACGCGCCACCATGCCCAGCTAATTTTTTGTATTTTTAGTAGAGACGGGGTTTCACCACGTTGACCGGGATGGTCTCGATCTCTTGACCTCGTGATCCACCCGCCTCGGCCTCCCAAAGTGCTGGGATTACAGGCTTGAGCCACCGCGCCCGGCCGGATATGGTCTTCTGACATGCACACTACTAATGGATCCTGTTGTTACCCTAAAGCTCTAGAACTACACAGGGCCAGACACAGGCATTTCCTGTCCTCTGAAGAGCCACTGGACCCAGCACAAAAGGAGTCTAGAGCTCTCTGAACCTATGGAACGGCAACCAAAAGCATGCCCAGGTTTTGAGTTAAGCCTCATGAGTCTCCCTTTCCTTGACAGTGTAGAACTCTGCAGCACAGCACCAAGTGAATGAGAGCAGAAGCCTCAGGACAGAACTGAACCCACCGGCTTGAGCCAACAGCGCTGCCAGGGGTTCAATCCACCTGATCCATGGAATATTCTCTTTGATCACTGGTGAGGGATTCAGAGCACTGCTCATCATGAGACATCACCCTATCCAGGTCAATAGCCTATTAGTAGGGACAGCATGTTACAAAATGCATACAGATTGTCACCTGCCCCAGCTGGAAGCAATGGTTTCATTGCCCCAGATTCAGAACTGATTTAAACTAGGTCTCTCCTGAGGAATCGGAACCAAATTCGAGTGCTTTGTGAGTGCAAGGATTTAATGCAGACAGACATTGCGGGTAAGTCAAGGGAGATGCCCCAGCCACTGGGCAAATTCCTCTGACTCCTCTCTGATAGAACTAATTCTTCTTCTTCAGTTCCTGGATCCTAGAGCCAAGATCCTTAAGGTCTGAGTACAAATTCCGCTTCAGGATGGCGCTGCTGCACAGCAGGGCACCTTGCAGAGCCCCGACCAGCCCACAGGTGAAGATATC